TGTTAAAGCTCCTCATTACTGATTTTTTTTCTGGAGTTCAGTGACCCAACTACAGACTGTCAACACACTCTCAACAGGTAAATGATTTAAAATACAAATTGAACTTTAAGATTGTAACTGGTTTCTAAACAAACATGTTCTTATCTTTTTTGTTAGTTTTTGGTCACATTTAAGTGTGTGCAGCTCTGCTAAGCTGAGGAAACTTATCTCCTCTTCTCCACTGAGTAAGTAAAAGAGACAATGATTTTTTTTTTAATTCATGTTGTTAGATTTTTTAAAAATGATTACTTGGGTTTATGTATAAACATACCCAGTCACAAAAAAATATTAAAACTATCCCATGACTTTATATAATTTTTTTCTTTTAAGATTGTGAAGGGCTCACATACTGCTTTTGGCCTTCATAAACATAATTGTTTTTACACAAACACATGGACACACTGTAACTCTAAACTCAATTGTGTATTTCAGATGTATCACATCCTACAACCTCATCATCTGCAGAGAAAAATCACCACTTAATCACACCAAAATGATGGACTTTAAGGACTATGAATAATCATATTGATTGGATTGTGATTGTTTCACTGAAACTTGGTCTTCATCACGTCTATTTTTTGTTCTTATTTTGTGTTTTACTTTATGTGTGTATTCATGTTCAATGTCAATTGTCATTCATTAATGTATTCAGCTAATAACTGTTGTTAAGAGCACTGATGATTTTGCATGTCAATAAAACATACATGCTGCTGTTGTTGTTATTGTGGTTGTTGTTGTTGTTTTAATGTAAAACCCTAACCGAGGCTACACTCTAAGATGCCTCATTACTGATTTTCTGGAGCTCAGCCATCCAACTACACAGACTGTCAACACACTCTCAACAGGTAAATAATTTCTTTCTTAAAATGTCTATAAATTATAACTTTCAGATGCTAATTGTTTTTTCCATGTCTTTTCTCTTTTTAGTTTAAGAGAACGTAAGTGTGACCAGCTCTGTTCAGTTAAGGATACTATTCTACTCTTCTTCACCAAGTAAGTAACAAAGATATTGAATTTATGGTCCATTTTAGATTTTAGGTCCAGTTAGATTTTTTTTATTACTAGGGTTTAAACATACCCAGCTATCCATGACTTTATATTACTTTTTCCTTTTAACATTGTGAAGTGCTCACATACTACTTTTGGCCTTCATAAACAATTGTTTTCACATAAAAAAAAATGAAAGGAGACACATATCTAAACTCAGTTGTGCTTTTCAGATGCTGTCACATCCTACAACCTTATCATCTGCAGAGAGAAACTGCCATTCAATCACACCAAAATACACATAATGATTAACTTAAAGGCATCATAGAGGATTGTGAAGATATTTAACTGGAGCTTGGGCTATTTTATGTTATATTTTGTTTTACTTCTTTAAGCATTTATTTATGTTTAAAGTCCATTGTCTTTCATTAATGTATTCTGCTAATAACTGTTGTTAGAAATACACTATTTTATGTTCTATTTTGTTTTATTTCTTTAAGCATTTATTTATGTTCAATGTCCATTGTCATTCATTAATGTATTCTGCTAATAACTGTTGTTAGAACACTGTCATTTTTGCTACAATTTCACGTCATTAAAAAAATAATAAAAGTACTTAATTGACATTTGTTGTTGTTGTTGTTGTTATAGACAAGAAATTGTAAGACCAGGCAGATAGAGGGTAAAATCAATATTAATAAATAATATATACAAATAATACTAATACCAATTATATTAATATACTAATATTAATGAAAAACTATCATTAAAAAGGTTATTTATAACACCATTAAGGTCCATAGCATTTTCAAAGCATGGTTCTATATGGAACCCTATAAAAAAGGTTCTGTTTAGCACAAAAAAGGGTTCTGCTATTGTTACAAGCCGAAAAACCCTTTTCTGGTACTGTTTAGAACCATTTTTCTTAAGAGTGTGGGGTGGGGATGTATCCAAAGCACATCAACTGGTCACTGGGGTTCCTCAGGGATCAGTTCTTGGACCCCTCCTCTTCACCATATACACTACATCACTGGGTCCCATCATACAGGCACATGGCTTCTCCTACCATTGCTATGCTGATGACACACAGCTCTATCTCTCATTTCAACCAGATGATCCAATGGTAGCTGCACAGATCTCAGGCTGCCTGGCGGACATCTCGGCATGGATGAAAGAACATCACCTACAGCTCAACCTGGCAAAGACTGAGCTTCTTGTCTTCTACAGCATGACTTCACCGTCCAGTTAGGCTCATCAACAATTACCCCATCAAGTTCGGTCAGAAATCTTGGTGTAATCTTTGATGACCAGCTGATTTTCAAAGACCACATTGCAAAAACTGCTAGATTTTGCAGGTTTGCATTGTACAACATCAGAAAGATCAGGCCCTTCCAGCACGACTGGTCTTTAACAAGCCCAAAAGAGCCCACGTCACACCTCTCTTTAACTCCCTGCACTGGCTGCCGGTTACGGCTCGCATCGTTACCGTTCCTGGCTGGTGGAATGATCTTCCAACCCCTATCCGGAATGCTGATTCCCTGACATTTTTCAAGCGACAGCTTGAAATCTTTTTCTTATTTATTTCATCTTTCTCTGTCTAGCTTGTACTTATTTGAACAATGCTTGAAACTTAGTATGACGAGCACTTCCTGTGTCTATTAGCCTCTTTAAGATGAATCGCTTGATGTATTCCCCAATTGTAAGTCGCTTTGGATAAAAGCATCTGCTAAATGAATAAATGTAAATGTATTCTTAAATAACATGAGAGTGAATAAATTATGGCAAAAATCTTCATTATTGGGTGGACTATTCCACTAACTCCTATAATACAGATTTTTTTTTCTGCCAAAATATATATTTCAGATAAATGCTAAATATATGTTTTAAACAGCATGGCCTAAGATATTATAAAATGTAATTCAAAGAGCAAGAAAATATATTTGCAATATATTAAAAATATATTTGGGTTAAATGCAAAATGTTTGTTTCTAAATACATGTTGTACATTATAAATATATTTAGTAAATAAAACTTACAGAAAATATATGTAAATAATATTTAAAATATAATATAATTAAAAAATATTTTTGTATATTTTAATATATTTTAAATATATCTAAAAATAAATTTTTTTTTGCCATATGGAGTCGTATCAATCATGTGTATGACACATTTTATTTGTTTTTCTTTGACATCCCTGAGATGTTTTAAGGATAACACGGCTGTATTCCTATGAGTTATCACAGAGGAATCCCAAAGGAAAAGAGTCCTGCCTGGAGTGTGTTGGGACAATACCTTTGCATTGTCATCCAGTGACTGCGCCAAATCCAAGTGGGCTTTAACATCAGAAGCATGAGGTATTTGTTTTGGGACGGCATGGATTAACCGTGTCAGTGCAGGCCTCCGCTAGCTCTGGATGCTAATGCGCTCAGCTACTTCTATGCTGTGAGTCATTGCTTTGAGGAATAGGCAAAGAAGGGGTATGTGACTGTCTTCTTTAGTTGTTCCATTTCCCTCTTTGCAGAAATCGGCTCCTGCACAGACCCAATAGCCACCCATAGCTTTTAAGGCCTAACCTTTGACCTCAGATTTTTCACTTTATGGTGTATAACTACTAGTCGAAAACACTTACAGGGTCACCAAATGTCTTCCTTGCCTCTTTAGGAACACCAGAAAAATTATTAAACACGTAACAGAAACAGTTATGATTTTTCAATCTTAAAGGAATGGTTTACAGAAGAATGAAAATTTGCTGTAAATGTACTCACCCTCAGGCCATCCAAGATGTAGATGAGTTGGTTTCTTCATCAGAATAGATTTGCATAACATCACTTGTTCACCAATGGATCCTGTGCAGTGAATGGGTGCCGTCAGAATGAGAGTTCTAACATAAGTAATCGACATGACTCAAGTTCATCAATTAATGTCTTCTGAAGTGAAAAGCTGCATGTTTGTAAAAAACAAATCCATCAAGATGTTTTAACCTCAAACTGTTGCTTCTGGTTAAAATATGAGTCCTCTATCCATAATATTGCATTCACACATACGGAGATTTACAAAACAACTAGAAGTCATTTTTTTTCAATGACAGTTCAACAACAATGACCACTGCCAATGGGATGTGATTGAGCCCATTGATTCCACAAATTTATGCACCTTATGTAAATGAGCAACGCAATGACTACCAATTTCAGTGTTTGCAAACAGTGATGACGTTTTTGTGGGCGGAGCCTATCTGGTGGCAGAAAATGACAGTTTTAACGTAGCAGTCTATTCAAGCCATGGAATAAAATAATACAAATGTAATTTTGAGTTTATATTTCAAAATTGTGACTTTTTTCTTGCAATTCCGAGATTATATCTCACAATTCTGGTAAGAAAAATCAACTCGTCATTCTTTCTTTTTAGTTTATAATCCCACACTTCTGACTTTTTTTCCTCAGAATTGACAAACTCGCAATTGTTGACTTGAATAAAGTTATAAAGTCCGAACTAAGAAACTTGCATTAGCAAGAAAAAAAAAAGTCAGAATTGTGAGATAATATAGGTAAATGTTATGTAAAATGTTATAGGTTTAAATAGTATTTCATGCATGTATTTCAACTGTAGGGCTAATACAATATGTCCCCTATATGAATATTATATAGACCTATTGTTTAAATCAAATTTATGCTTTAAAAGTAGGGTAATCATAGCAGGTTTCATCCATAGTCTGTCCGTTTAAACGTCTGCATTTAGCTTCAAATGGCGTCTTTGACGACAGTGTTATATAAAAATTATTTGCATTCCGATTCTGACATCCAAAGGCACAATACATTTTTTCTCTTATTCCATGGATTTTACCCGTTTCCCTCCATTTGTTCCCAGTATTTTTTCTACCACCACTATGCGCGCGCAGCTGCAAGTGATGTAACTGTGACGTCTACTCCAAATTGGTCTATAGGAGTCAAGACATTGGCGCACATGTGACCTGTCTTTTGTGAGATACCATAGTGAAGTGTCAGAAAGATGAAGTGCTAAAGTAAGCGTTTAATCATAGTAAAAAATGATGCATGGAAAACATTGCAGAGTTTGATTCATGAATTGATAATGATGATGCATTATGCATAAATGCAATTTATATACAGACACTTTCCCTTCCAGGATGTTCATTTTTAGCAGTAAGAAAACAGATTTCTTGTCAAAATAGAATGACATCCTGTTTGTGATGAGATTTTCTAAAGCTATGACCAGTTTCGATAATAGTAGGGCATCTAGCAGCAGAAACGCATACTAGCGACCAACTACAAGCGATAAAATGGTGTACGTGTGAGCGAGGCATTACTGAGGTGTCATGGAATCAATGTAAACAACAACTGACCAAGGAATTCAGAGCAAGCCTTGGCTAACTGAGAACAAAAAAGACAACGTACAAAGAAAACAAAACATTTAATTGGCTCATTGTTGGAAAAATATACTTTCAGCTACAATATATCAGTTAACATATGTGCTGTGGTTAAGCATAAATCCCCTCAGTGGATGTTGGCAGCTCTGAGCAGTGTTTGTTTTAGACATCTCAGAGGTCGCTGGCAATGTATTAAGTCTGTTAAGACTCGGGCCACAAAAGGTCGTGAACCCTGCTCGCTCTTATGAGCCAGTGGAAATATCCACCAGGCCACAACTGTATCATTAGCTGCACTGATTATCCAAAGGCAAGATGGCTACTTCCCCATTTAAGGGTCTAAGACCATCACTAAGGGCTTGGAGGAGATGAAGAACAAGCCTAAAAGTCTCAAACAACATTAACGGATGGTTATTTCCAGGACTGGGATGCTGCAGTTCTGAAGTCAAGGGAGTAGAGGACAGAGGCCAGGGCAGCGTACAGGTGAGTGGTGTTGAAGCACAGGCTGTACACTGGGCTGCTGGTGGTGGGCGCCAACTGGAACATCTGTCAACCGATTATTGCAAAGATGAATATTACCACAATAAAATAAAATATCAATTGAAAAGGTGCTGAAACATGCTCACAGTTACCTGCAAACAGCGGGTTTTCCGTTTGTCCCAAAGGCGGACTACTCCATAGTATGACGAGCCACTGGCAATCATGTGATTCTTGTCTGTCTTTATACAGTAAAGGGCGCTGTCATGAGGCTCCTCCCACTCCATCACACATTTCCTGTTAGAAAGGTAAATCCAGCGCACATATTTATCAGCTGCTACAAATATATTGCTTTATAGGGTAGTTCAACCAATACTGTCTTTAAGTTGGCCAAATTATTAAATATGCAGAAGTGCACAGGTGATTTAATAGCTACAGCAGAGGGGAACATTTACAGGGAGAAATTACTTAAACTGTGGTCTGATCTTCACACAAAGCTGTTGTGTGGACTACCTTTACAATGCTTTTTTGTCTTTTTTAGAGCTTGACAGTCCCTAGTCACTATGTGTTTTCACTGTATGGAAAACAACAGCGTGACATCCTTCAAAATATCTTCTTTTTTTTGTTCCACAGAAGAAAGCAGGGTTCTTTTAGTATCAGTGAGATACTATTACAGTTTTTAATAATATTTTGAATGTTTTTTTTCTTTCTGTTTTTCTTTTACTTTTAAAGTTTTAGTAATTTAGTTCAATTTTATGTTTTAGTTTTTTATTTATTTAAATGTCTGTGTATAGTTTTTATCCATTTTTTATTTCAATTTTAGTTTTAGTTATTTTAGTACATCAAGTTAACCTAAATGAAAATGAGAAATGTTGCTTTGGCAACTAGCTGAAATAAAATACATTTAAGTTTATTTATTTATTTATATACATTTTATTTATTTCAGTCAATATTTATTTCAAGTAACAAAATATTTTTTATGGTTTTAGTTTTAGTTAAGTATAACTACCCTAAAGAACAAATGTCATACTGGTTTGGAATGACATGAGGGTGAGTAAATCTTGACAAAAAGTTCATTTTTGGATGACCTGTTCTTTTAAAGAACAATGGGTTATTCATGTTGCCTTATAATTATGGCTAGGATTAGCATAATGGACATCACACAAAAATAAAAATCACTGAATCAAATTTCCAACTAAAATGAACATATAATGTACAGCTATGCATATTTGGACACATTCTGAAGTATTGAAGTCCATAGTTACACCACAACTCCAGCCATTGTCACACTATATTAGACCGGTCCTAAAGCAGAGGGCCAAAGCCACCATGGCTAGCTCTCCCTGTGCGGCTTAAGGGCGAGTGTCTCATTTGCGCTGGCAGGCCACAAGGGTGAAACCTCATCCCTTGTTTACGGAAAGGGGCATTCTTGTTTTACAGCAGGTCGAGAAAAAAAGAGAGGGAAGGACAGGGGAAGTGTCTGCGCGTGTGCTGAGCCAATAGAGATCAATTCTCCATTAATGGTGTGCTGAATAAATCATGGAGAGGGAGTGTGGCTGGGCCGTGTGGCAGACAGCAGGGCAGCAGGAGCATGCGGGAGATGCCTGGATCGCATTTTGCTGTGATGCACATGTGTACACACATGCACTCACACAGAGGAACCTTAAACAGGGGCTGGGTCATTCCTCTTACACATTAAAATTTCATCATATACAACCAACAATTCACAATACAGTTTAATACACTGTCAGAAAAAACAATTACCTTTAGAGATACAACAGCCTGTCACTTGGGGAAAATCATTAAAGGGACATCTTTGTATCTTATCGTCTCCTAAAAGGTGCATATTAGTACCTTAAGAGTTGTAATATGTACCCTTAAGTATGCACCTTATAGGGGGAAATAAGGTACAAGGATGTCATTTTCAGGGAACTGCCCCAGTGACAAGCAGTTGCATCTCTAAAGGTACAATTGTTGCACATTTTTTGTGAGAGTGTACCCTGAAATTAAAATGACTTATTACTTCAAAATGAAAACAACAGCTCTAGCATCAAGTATTAGCAATGCATTTTATAAATGCGATATTTTATGGTGTTAGCTGTTTTTTTTTCGTTCAAAAACATTGCATCATGTTTGATAAAAGTGAAAAGTGCAGCTCTTTATATATTGAACAATTTATTTCCATCACTTTATTTCCATAATGTTCCTGTTCATTTTCTTGTCATGTAAATAATCAAATTATAATTGAAGTTTTGTATATAATATATAATAATATATTAAAGTAATAATAAGAAGTAGTGTAATATATTAAATATTAGGTATTTTTACTGGAGTTTAAGTATATATATATATATATATATAAAAATTAATTCAAAAGGTTTGTGATTAAACTAATCCGTCATCTCTTGTCTCCCATTTTTAACCCCTTGTATATGCAACAATATGACCTGCAAGGTGTTGAGCAATCAAATTCAACTGAAGAGACGGGAACACATCCTCCTCAATTACTCACAATTAATCTAAAAATTAGTTTCACACACTTACCATCATGTACAGTTTACTCTACAAGTGAATGAAAGTGCCCTCTTTTATAGACGATGACGACTTTCAGACGACTAACCGCTTTGAATCAAGACGTACCACATATTGAGTCCTGACTGGTCTTACTGTGAATTATTGATATCTTAAGAGGGGACATTTGCCCCTCCCCAAACTCTCCAGGGCCCTCTTTCAATCACCTCTGATTTGTGTTACTTGACTGCCCATATGCGATTGTGAGGATCCCCCCTCCCCAAAGTCCTACATGGAGCCTCAGTCCACCCCACCAGCGGCTCACTGATCCCCAGCACCCGCCCCGTTGTCCTGGAGACGCGCACATCAATATGGCCACCAACCGGCGTGGACTTGGGTGGGTGAGAGTGAGAGAGCCTCTCTCGACAAGGGGGTCCTTTTCAATCTCTCAGAGGAACAATTGTGTCCACAGACCCAAGAGGAGGCTCAAGTCTGGCTTCTTTTTTATCTAAACGGTACTCTATGCGCAGGAGGGCTTATTAGATTAACAGAGAACACTAATCTTCCTCACAGGCTCTCCGAGATGTACTGGCTAACTTTATTAGTCTCAGTAGACAAGGCCAAATCTGCTGACAGCACAGGCCAAGGTAAGAACTAAGTCTAATTTAACTCGAATCGTAATGGCGAGGCGCTGGAGGTTCCCAGAAGCAGAAGAACTGGGCAGTACCTGGAGCAGACGCGCAAATCCCAATAGCGGATGAAAGTGTCGTATCCACAGGTGAGGAGCTGGAAGGGAGACTCATAGACGATGTCCAACACACCTGCGCCACGGCGGAACTCTGTACCGAGACACGACACCAGGTGACACCTGGGAGAAAGAGATAAGAGAAGAAGCTTGCAGATTATACCTTGTCAAACCTCATTGAGGAAGATTAACACATTAATAAAAACACAGACAGCAACTTAAAACGCAGCCGAGATGGAATTACGCAGACTTGCTGGAGGCCAGTAATTCCAGAGAGAGTTGAAAAGCAACCGGACAAGTGAGGTCATCTGCGTCTCATCGTCTGTGTATCAGTTTTATCAAAGCGATTCAGTGACTGGCAAGCTCATAAAACAGGTCGTGCTTACTTGTTGAGATTGGAACATCTCCCAGTCTTCGCATCCCGGAGTCAATAAAGATCTAATTTCAAACCAAACGCCTTCATTTGCTCACTTAATCTCTTATTACCATTAAATCCCACTATACTTTTGGCGTTTCCAATGTCCATGGACCACACAAAAGCTAAATGAAGTCTTAGGATGAAGAGATAAAAAGTAAACACCTTTCTGACTTTGAATGGGCTGCTAAAGCAGCTTAGTTTGGCCATAAGGTACGTTCCCAGATACGCGAAAGAACCGAGAGGAGTGGAAGAAAGGAGATTTGAGGGGAGAAGTGGGGGGGTGTCGGGACTAGCACCACGCTTCTATGATCACAGACCCAATGGTTCCACGGTGCCCTCCGCCCCCACCCGAGCCGCAGAGGCCAGATTATTGTAGAATCACAATTTCTTTGTTGCTATTTAATTCCCTCCATGACCGTGACTGTGTGCGACTTGTGGACCTTTGATACCTGGCCCCTAGCAACCATTTAGGGGAGCCCAATGGCCATAGCGACCACCCCCCACGTTCGAGGTCTCCTGTGAGCTTGTTCACCGAGGGCAGACTGGTAATCCCCAACCTTCGCTCTGGGGGAGACAAGGGGGGTCTTTCTTAGACACAGGCTCTTTAAAAGATAGTCCCGCAGAACCAAAGGCCAAGACCCTGGTGGGCCTAAAGACAAACTCTCTTGCAGCCCCTCGGGCATCTGCATACCCATCATTTACCCCTTGCTGCTAAAATAACACGCTGGCAACAACTTGAACTGATGACAGTGCTGTCAATGGGGACAATCAATTAAATTACACAAAGCATTTGTTTGCAAACCATGCAATTTGCATCAGATATTTCTTTTTTAAGTGCTTTAGGAAACTGTGTAAACTCGGGTCGGGAGAGAAAGAGAGAGAGAGAAAGAGAGAGCGTCCGACGTCTGCCTGGGACGCTCTGCAAATGTCAAAGCACGAAGTGAGAAAAACAAGCATCGTAAAAGAAGTCCTCACATCTGTGCTCTGATTTTAAAGCCAGTAATAGCACTGTTCCAAGTACAACAGCAAACACCCAGGATTCTTAAATTGTTAGGTCACAGGTTTTTTTTTTATGCGTCCCATGTTTTCTCTCCCATTTTAGAGAGAACCTGTGAAGATTACAGGATGGAGGATAACCATATAATCTTTTAAATTACTGCATCTGCATGGCAGGCAACCTTGTTCTTCCAGTGTCTGATCTGTTTGGGAACTTGCGGTGAGACTGTCCCTGCTCGAAACATCGTCTGATCACGGTCGGTTCGATGAGAGCTTCTGATTGAGTGAAAAAAGGTTAGAGGGCTGCTAAGGAAAAATTGATCTTCGATTTAAACTCATAGTACAGGAGTCATTTAGCAGAGTGATGGCACGTGTTTTATTAAGGTCAGAAGGTGGAATGGACAGATTAATTAAGACATGAGAGCGACTGTCCCAGTGGAGTAATACATATACAGTGTGTCCACCATCATTCCCTCTCGAATGTGGTTCAAAGGCTGCCAAACAAAGGTGGTTTGCCTTCTCCTCCTTTAAACGAGCAAAACTAGAAATTACGTAACAATAAGTGGGGCCCTATCGTGGCTTTTTTCGCAGCTCTTGCCGAAAGAGACGTCTAATGTTCAGACATGTGGAAGCTTAGAGGTCACTAACAGACTTGTCAGGGGCAACTGTGATATTTGCAATCTGCTAAAGTGATCACATGAAC